TTTCAAGAACCCATTCATATAAAAACAAACAAATTAAGCAAGTTAAAATGGTTGCTGTGTAGGGGGAATAAAATAGGAGTAGGGAATGAGGACAAAAGAGAAGCAGGCCAGGTGTGGTGGCTTGTGCCTCTAATCCAGGCACTTTGGGAGACCGAGGCAGGAGGATCACTTGAGGTCAGTCAGGAGTTCGAGGCCAGCCTAGGCAACATGGTGAAAACCCATCTGTACTAAAAAATACAAAATTTAGCTAGGTATGGTGGTGGGCGCCTGTAATCCCAGCTTCTCAGGACGCTGAGGCAGGAGAATTACTTAAACCCAGGAGGCAGAGATTGCTGTGAGCCAAGATCGTGCTACTGAACTCCAGCCTGGGTGACAGAGCAAGACTCTGTCTCAAAAAAAAAAAAAAAGAGGTCTGGGCGTGGTGGCTCACGCCTGTAATCCCAGCACTTTGGGAGGCCAAGGCAGGCGGATCACGAGGTCAGGAGATTGAGACCATCCTGGCTAACACGGTGAAACCCCCGTCTCTACTAAAAATATAAAAAATTAGCTGGGCGTGGTGGCGGGCACCTGTAGTCCCAGCTACTCGGGAGGCTGAGGCAGGAGAATGGTGTGAACCCGGGAGGCGGAGCTTGCAGTGAGCCAAGATGGCGCCACTGCACTCCAGCATGGGTGACAGAGCAAGATTCCATCTCAAAAAAGAAAAAAAAAAGACGGATGAAGAAAAGAAGAAATGGAATGAGAAAAGGAAGAAGGAAAGGAAACAAGAACAGTTGATGATAACCTGCCCTGACCTCAGGAGGATGACTAATTTAACCCTCTGCACCTAAAGTCCACAAGGAGAAAAAGAAAATGATACCTCCTATAACTCTGTCATGGTGGCATTTTAACTTTTTCTGTCTAAGCCTCGAACCCTCACTCCTGTGCACCCTACTATATATTTCTATGTGGCCGTTACCATGAGGAACACATCACTCTGAATTTTTGCCTATGAAACTGCTAGCACTGGGCCAGAACTTCTGGATATATGATATCATTTTATCTGCTTAACAACATTGTAAGGTGAGTATCATTATCTCTATTTTACAGATGCATTTAACCTCAGAGATCAGGTTATTCATCCAACTTCTACTATTAATAAATTACAAAGCTGGCACTTTGGGAGGCCAAGGTGGGATGATTGCTTGAGGCCAGGAATTCAAAACCAGCCTAGGCAACATAATGAGACCCCATCTATACAAAACAAAATGAAAAAATAAATCACAAAGCTAGTATTCCAAACACCTTGGCCTCAAAGGCCCAGGGTCATGTGATGCCATTAAGTTGATCCAATAGCTTCCTCATAATTATTCTTATTAAGGTCTGCCTAGTGGTCCATTGTATCGATGGAGGGTAGTTTACTGTAATTTACTAACTGCTGTCCTATTTCTGAGTATTTGGGCTCTTTCTAGCTTTCTGCTCACATAGATAGTCCTATAAATTATCTTCAGGTCCAGAGCTTTTTGAGCCTGTTGAATTACTTCCTTATCGGGGTGGGGTTCCTTTGTGTTCACACACAAATGTTGACCTCATTACAGTAGTTCATTCTCGTTGACATGGTTTTCACAAAAGAGTTGAATGGGCAAGCAGGAGTTAAAACCCAGAGATGGGCAAGATGCAATGGCTCACACCTGTAATCCCAGCACTTTGGGAAGCCGAAGTAGGTGGATCACGTGAGGACATTAGGATCACGTTAGTTCGGGGCCAGCCTGGCTAACATGGTGAAACCCCCTCTCTACTAAAAATACAAAAGTTAGCCAGGGTGGTGGCTCATGCCTGTAATCCCAGCTACTCGGGAGGCTGAGGCAGAAGAATTGCTTGAACCCGGGAGGTGGAGGTTGTAGTGAGCTGAGATCATGCCGCTGCACTCCAGCCTGGGCCACAAGAGCGAAACTCCATCTCAAAACAAAACAAAACAAAACAAAAACAAAAAAAAACTCCCCAAAAAACCCAGAGACTGTGTGTGTGTGTGTGTGTGTGTGTGTGTGTGCGTGTCTGTGTGTGTGTGTGTTGGGGGATGGGAGATCATGTGAGGTACAGGAAATTGGGGTAGTGTGAGGCCTCCAGCCAGGCAGGAAGTCAGTCTGGGGGGATTCCTGTGTCCCCCACATTTCCCTAACGCCTTCCTGGCCCAAGCTGTTTGGGGTCTGAGGTGCAGTACAAGGGGGATTAGGCAGACTGTGATCCAGCCGCTCTCTCTTTGCCCTGATACCCCGCCCCCACCCCAGGCCCCTCTACTCCCTCAAGAAGGCCTCCGAATCTTCTCTAAGGGTGGGAGGAGTGGGATGGACAAGCAGAAGCATGAGGTCTGCACACCCTCGCCCTGCTCCCTGGCTATCTGTTCTTAAGGCCCAGCTTCCTGTGCTGGACATCACCTGGGGATCTGGTTAAAATGCAGATTCTTATTTCTCAATTCTGGGGCAGGGCCTGAGCTCCTGGATTACTGGCAAGCTCCCTAGAAATGGCACTGCTGCTGGTCCCAGAGCCCCACTGAGTAGCAATGCCCTATGGATTCTGGCCAGGGTCCCAGCCTCCCCTGCTGCCCGAGCTCCACGTACTGTTTCAGAATTGCAATTAAAAACATGCTTAACCCTTGGCAGGAGCAGGAAGTGGTCTTCCAAATTGAGGCAGCGTTTATTTCCCGAAGTCCAGATATGATGAACTGGAAAAGGATGGAAAGGATCCTTCTCCAGGCGATGGAAAGGATCTGCCAGAAAGAATTAGCCCAGCAGAAAACTGAGGCCCAGAGAGGGGACTGGCTTGTCCCAGGCTGCACAGCCAGCCTGTGGAAGAGGCCTGGGGATGCCTGAGGCCTGAGCTCTCTGCAAGCTTGTCTCATAGCCTGACTTCTGGGTACATGCAGGTGGGGAATGGGGGGTCTGGCGAGCCCTGGGGACAGGGCCAGTGCTGTGGGGATCTGCAGCTGCTGTGTGTGGGAGGTGGACGCTGGGACGGCTCTCTGCTGGCAGAGTTAGCTCTCTGGCCCTTTGGCAGCTGCCCTGGCCAGCCTGGGAGGGGTCAGCTGGGGATAGGCAGTAAATATAGATCCAGGGCAGGAAGCCAGGTGGCCCAGCCCTGCACTGACCTCTCATTGGAAGTCTGGGGAGGGCAGATATCCAGTCCCGGCACCCTCCTCTCCTGGAGTGAGGGACATCTAGCCCAACAGCACCCTAGAATTGCTGGAAGTGATTGGGGGTAGGGGACCAGGGTGAGGGTAAGCAGAAAGCTGGCCAGGAGACCCTGTGCCTGTGTGGCCATGTGCCCTCTCTGGGCCTCTGTTTCCTTCTCTGGTCATCTCTGTCAAAGGGGTTGTCCAGCTTCCTGGTAAGGGGCCCACTGTTCTAAAGGGAACTGGGGGCTCACAAGTACAATGGGCAGGGGGCAAAGTCCCCTTACAGCCCCTCCTCCCACCCCCACAGGTCTTGCTTATTCGAGAGAGGAAGGAGTCTCAGAGCATAATCTCATCTCTTGATCCCTAGCCACTCTCTGGGGGCTGGCCTCCCACCCTAGGGCTCAGGGTCACACTTCAGCCTGGCTCCCCTTGCCACACAGATGCAGCCCTGTGCCAGGCCTGTGCCACACACACCATGCCCACCGAGTTCAGCCAAGACCCCCGGAACCCCTGCCTCTGGGAAGGGAAATTCAGGCAAGGCAGCCACTCCAACCCAGATACATTTATTGGCAAAACCTACTCCCAGGCATCAAGGGGAAGGGTGCAGCCGAGTGAATAATTTTTGTTTTTCACTTTTCTTGGTCATGTTCAAGGAGCAAGGGGAGGGGGAGACAGGGACATCCCAATCAAGATAAAGATCCCAGCAGCTCCCCTCTGAGGTTGGGCTCTTCACCAACCAAAGCCTTTTCTTGCACTGTCTCTTTTAATCCTTATAACAACCCTGCAAGGTAGGTACCATTATCATCCCCATTTTACAGATGAGAAAACTGAACTGTAGCATAGTGAAGTGGTGAAAGGTGGGTGTCAGCTTTCAGGGACACCTGGAGAGCCCCCCATGGACTGAGCTAGCCTGGGAGGCATAAATAATGATCCCCTATGTCGGGCTAGAGCCCCATCACACACACATGTTGAGTCTGTGGCCCCAAGGCTGAAGGCTGATGTTTCCTTCTGTTTTTTTTTTTTTTTTCTGAGACAAGGTCTTGCTCTGTTGCCCAGGCTGGAGTGCAGTGGTACAATCTTGGCTCGCTGCAACCTCTGCCTCCTGGGTTCAGGTGATTCTGTTGCCTCAGCCTCCCGAGTAGCTGGGATTACAGGTGCCTGTCATGACACCCGGCTAATTTTTGTATTTTTAGTAGAAACGGGGTTTCACCATGTTGGCCAGGCTGGTCTGGAACTCCTGACTTCAAACGATCCACTCACCTTGGCCTCCCAAAGTGCTGGGATTATAAACATGAGCCACTGCGCCAGTCTACCTCCTCTCTTTTTTACCACTCCCTGATTCTGTTTCCCCCTCTCTCACCACTTCCACGTGTTTCAACTCTTTTTATCTTTTTGTTTTATAAAAAAATAAATTTGCCCATGTTCTGGAGAGCCTGCTGTCTCCTACCCCAATTGGTCAGATCTGGATTCTCCCCAAGATTCAATCTAGATGGGGTTGGGGATAGTGGGTCTCAAATGAGGGGCCTGGAGCTGTGTGTGAAGCCAAAGTAGGATGAAAACTCTTAGAAAATACACAATTAATAAATTACAAACCCCCTCCCTGTCCCACCTCTACCCTCCCACCCTCCCCAACTCCCTATCCAAATCTAGTATTGACTGTACCTTGCCCCCCACCCCCACCCCAGGGCAGGGCTTGTCTCAGTCCCCTTGGAGTCCACTGACTCCGGGGCCCTTAGTAAATGTGGTGGAATGAATGAATGAGTGAACTCATGAGTGTTTGGAGGGAGGAACCAAACACAGGGGACCTGAGTCTCAGGCCCGATCCCTGGATCATCCTCACCTGTACCTTGCCCTTGCCAGGATGCCTCTCTGTGGGCCCAGAGAAGAGGGTCTCAAGGTAGGGGCTGGGAGCAGAGTGGGGAAGGGAGGAGTCACAGGGGAACGGAAGGTGGACACATGACTGACAGAGGACAGAGCTCAGACCTCAAAGTCAGAAGGCCTGGTTCAAATTCCAGCTGCACGACCCAGTTAAAATCCCAGCTATGGGACCTTGGGTATGTTCAAAGACAAATGATGACTGCTGTAGAACAGTCCTTGTGGAGTTTACAAAGCCCTATTTTACATGTATCTTTGGTCCTCAGTAACCATCCTGTAATGTGGGTATTATCATCTATATACCCATTTTACAGAAAAGGAAGTATAGGCCAGAAAGGTCAAGGGACTTGCCCAAGGTCACACAGCAAGCACCCCACCCGCCTACCCACCTCCTGCCTTTGCTTCTACCCCTGCCTGAGCTGGGAAGAGGGAGCGCTGAGAGATAAGTCTTCCAGCACAGGGTCCCCAGTGAAAGTGTGGCAACAGAAGGGACTGTGGAGCAAACCTCCTAATGTGGGCCCTGTCGGCCGTCTCCAGCCAGAAAAGCCAGGCTACCCTTTGTGGAAGGTCTCTTGGACACCCCTTCCTTCCCCGCCCACAGCCCTGGGACCTCAGCTGCTGCTCCAGGAGGAGCCTGGAGTCCATGAGGTGCCCATGAACTTCTGCTTTTCCTGGGAAAGTGGGGACGTGGAATGGTGGGGGAGGGTCTAGGGCCTGGACCCGCCCCTCAGACAGGCATCGCCACTTCGTTGTATACATCCCGACCTTCCTCCTCATCAAAGGTTGCCTTGGCATCATCAGCATCCAGCTGGAGGGGAGGGACAGGACAGAGACAGGGTGAGAGACTCTGGGTCCAGAAGAGCCCTCCCCAGGCACGAGAGGCATCTCTGGAGTTAGGAGAGTGTCTGGCTGTCTTGAACCTTGGGCCAGTCCTGTTTTATCACCCCAGCCACTAGGACTGGCCTAAATGAATAGTTGTCAAAGTGGGAGGCAACGCTGGGGATGTCGACCCTGGCAGGGGAGGGCCTGCAGAGGATAAGCAGGGGACCCCTTCACCAGGGCAGCCCCACAGTGACCTGAGTCACACTGTGGAATAATCCTATTAGAGGAGTAGCTCTGTCCCAAATGACTTGGAAGACAGCAGGACTTGCTGCTCAGGGGTCCAGCTCACACCCAGCACACCCTGTCTACCTCTTGACACTCTCCCCAGCCGTACCATCATTCCCCCCCTTTACAGGTGAGCAAAATGAAGGCACAGAGAAACGAGGCCTTGTACTCCAGATCATATACTAGGACATGGCAGGCCAGAACCTGGACACCAACCCTAGCCCCAGACTTTACCCATGATGCTATCCTGCCTGCCCTAGTTCTGAGATGCATCTTTACATGCTCCCAGCTCTTGTGCCCCAGGCCCAGGCAGCCACTCACACACTGAAGCTCCAGGTTCCTGAAGATGAGCGGCAGCAGGACGCGCCGCAGCGGCACAGTGAGGATGAGGACGAAGGGCAGGGCCAGGGAGGCCGGCGTGGACTTCACCACCCACAGCACTGCCAGGCAGATGATCTGGATGCCCGTGAACAAGTGCATGCGCCAGGTCTTCACCTGCAAGGGGAGGCGGGGGTCAGTGCCTATCATGCCCCAGCACCCTCCACCACCCCAGGCTGGGCAGCCAGAAAAGGGTCCTGTACCCGCTTGACGTAGGGCACATCTGGGTGGTACTTGGATGGCTTGAGCAGAAGCAAGATGCGGTCAAAAAGCTGGATGCCAATGAGCGATGTGACCCCCATGTAGAGGAAGATGCCAAACAGTACAGCCAGGGGGATGCGGGACAGGATGGGCTCCATGAGGATGGACAGGCCTGTGGGGGAGCCGCATACTCTCAGTCCAGGTTGCCCAAGGCCTGGCACCAGTGGGGGGTCAGGCCCCTATCTGGGGCTGGGAATAAAACACAGGCACCATATGGAGCCGTTTTTTTTTTTTTTTTTTTTTTTTTTTTTTTTTTT